CGCGCCAGATCGAAACGTCCCCCCCCCCCGTCCCACGCGAGCACAGTTTGCATGAAATTTCCGCAAAGTGAAATAGCGCGTGCGATAGAACGAGTGTTGAGCGTAAACCCGAGTAAACCCGTCCGACCGGCAACGCGACGATCGGTATAGGTACGCGTAATCCTTTTAGAATCTCATTACGACGCGAACAATGCGCGATTAGTCCGCATGTTTATTGTCATTCTGCATTACATCGCGAATGACTGCGATCGTTCCTGATGCGCATCTGAATCATTAATACAAATCCGCTTTAGGAAAGAGATACGCTTTTTACTCCAAAGTGAATTTCTATCAAGTGAAAAAAATAAGCGGAATTGCTCGCGCGAGCGCAAAATACCACGCTCTACTTCCAAATAGGCCGCGCAACTTTTTTTTTTTACAGTTTTGCAATGTTAATTGCAAAGTCACGCGCGGAAAGTACACACCGGCCACTTTTCCGAATGTATCTCTGTAGCGTTTAAGGATAGAATTAGCTGAAATCATAAAAGCGAGCGTTTAGATTGTAGTGTAGATTTCATAAAGGATCGAGCGGAGGAATCTTCGCATTAAGGTCTGATTCGCACGCGCGCGCACGCGCGCGCGAGCCGTAATTATTAGATTCCCCGTTGGATTCGAGTTGGACGCAAACGAGGAATCTACCAATTACAGCAAGCAATCTTCGCAGATTGAAATCTACCAATCACGACGCTAGAACGCGGCTCCCCGCGCGACACCCCCGACGACAATGAGAACGATTCGCGCGAAATTTTCCGTGCACTGTCGGCCCCGGTGTCGTCCGCGGTGATTGGCAATTTGATTTTGTCCAGAATAAGCGTCTAATGTGTGGCACGGCGGAGAGTCGCTCTACGTTCACGCCACCGGGGTACGCCACCGTATGTGTGTCGCTTATATTTGTGGCGCGACTTCAGTGCGACACGCTGAATGGTATCCAGATGTACCTACTGCTTCCTCACGTTCAATTGTAACTTGGCACAAACATGCCGCAAAGTACGCTATTATTATTGAGTAAAAAAAAAACATCTTTGTTTTTCTCTTTTTTCCACAATTTGTCGTTTGCGCGAGATCCTCTTATATATTGTAGTCGACAGTGGCTCGTTAAATAACCGAGAATGCCAAAACCAATTCCGCGACCTACTTGAGATACCTAACTCGATGAACTTGCATTCGGGCGCCGAATATTAATGATCGAAGACATATACACGTATTGTCAGCGCGAGAGTCCGGATCTAACTCCTTTTAACTTTAAATCAGATCGAATTTAATTTTGACCATCGACGACTTCTCTCATTGGTATATTTTTTCTTCCCTATATTTTGGAAAAGATTACATAAAAAATTTACTATATTATGATACTTTCGCTCTACCAGAAAATTCGGAATGGAATTTATTATCGAGCTTGAGAAAGGCTATAATACCGAAATAATGACGCATTTGCTTGTAAAGAGAAAAGCGCAAGTCATTAATAATCCCCGAGCGCTCCGACACAATCCTGTCGATTTTTTTTCCCTGCTAATAAACATGGGTGTAATCTCGTTCCTATTATTATACAAATCCGATCACGGGGAAAGACGAAACGAGAAAAGGAGTCTATAGATACGCAGCGATCAATGTCGAATCGGAATCGATGTGGTTGTAAAGCCAACCTTTTAGAATCCGCGACACGATAATTGACAGCGGATGCGACAGCTGCCATTTCCAGGCATACGTCGAAAGGAAAGTAGCGGGCTGACGGTGACTCGATGGA